ATATATATATATATATATATATATATATATATATATATATATATATATATATTTAGAAATTGATTAACTTAGATATTGATTGGTCGACGATTTTTGTCGGAGGAAATTTTGATTAATCAAACCCCAATACTATCTGGTAGATGCTTAAAATATTGAATATATTCTCTCTGAAGATTCAAAATTTTGTAAAATTATTCAATTTTATAGAATGCGATCTTCTAGGTGTCTCGAGCAGTGCGCCAACGTGCAAACAGATTGCGCCAACGCGCAAAGAGATTGTGCCAACGCGCAAAGGGATTGCGCCAACGCGCAAAGAGATGTGCCACAGAAAATGTGCAATCACATCATCCGCCTCATCGATCTTCCGCCGGTCGTTTATTTTCTCAATTTTCTTTCTTGCGTGAGCTTGAGTTGCAATTATATTTCTTACACTAGAATTCGTGCTTTGTTATTAAGTGAAATTCGATATTGTACGGCTCCTACGCGAAGCAATCTAACGTGATTCTATAAACCGCTCGCAAAATTAATTTCATGATCGTCGGAAAATTTTCAAGTTTCAATTTTTCACTTGAGTTAGAGTTTCCTAACACAATAGAGGGACACAATAGAGACAATGCTAGAGAGCGTTGATCTCTTACAAAAAACGCGATGTACACAAGTCATACATACAAGCAGTTGTTTATTTTACGCGGCGTGCGACAAGTTCCATCAAACGAAGATAGACGTCTTACGCAGTAACATTTTTTTTTCGCTTGAAATTCGAACAGAATCTTTATCTCTATCGTCACAATTTTCATAGTTCTTGATTTTTTATACACGCTTGCGTTCGCGATTATTAATTTGATAGGTTTGCGAATTTTTCAGCGGATCGTATTTGCAGAAGAATCGCGAGCGAACTTCGCAAAAATGTTGCGGAGTTGTTATCCGCAAAAGCGTTGCGGAATTGCCTTCGCAAAGTATTGCGAAGCTGTTATCCGCAAAAATATTACGGAATTGTCTTTGCAAATGTATTGCAGAGCTGTCATCCGCAAAAATATTGCGGAACTGTATTGCAGCCTACTACGCTGCATTATCGAAACGTTATATTAGGGATCTTCCGTGTCGTACGTGAGAATTTTGCACAGATTACTTCTCCTACGCGTCGAAAGATTTCGCGAGATCGGCCCTCGCGTAGCGTGTTCCCTTCGCTCACGGATTCCATTTTCTTCGTAAGCAATTCGCGGCGCGCGTGTATTAAAGCGATATTCTACAACTCGATCGGACCATTGCTGAATACTCGTCGTTTATCCGAAAAGCCGGCATTTCTTCGAAGACGCAATTCGCGATATTTCATATGCAATTCGCAACTCGGAGTGTATCCCCCAAGAGAGCCTGGATTTTTAATGAAATCTCTGTTAGATTACCGTGGTCGGGAGTGAATTACAGGCGACGTGGGACGCGAGGACTATTGCAGTGTCAGATGCAGCGACAGGATGGCTGGTGGACCCTGGACACCGTGGGACCACACACAATAGTGAGTGCTCAATTAGACGCTCATATAGTAGACACAAAGCGTCACTTTACGTAGATTGCATGATGGTAGACGTAAATCGCATTGGGTCCGACGGGAAGTAAAGTAAGAATTGGAATTTGCAATTCGCCGGAGTTACGTAAGAATGATCTAAGCAAAGAATTTAGCTCTGAGATTTTCGCAATAATTCAATGAGTCAAGCATTTTCATTTCTGTAAGAATACTCTAGCTCAATCCTTAGAAAAATATGCAAGAAGACGCGACTGGTAAAAAATAAAAAAACTGTTTCTTAATTCATTTCAAGCATCTATAAGGCTTGAATTTTTTTGATGGGTTAAACAGATGTGAATGGAGTATCCATTGATAAAAGCTTATAATTTTTTTAATTGGATCATTCTTGCATAATAATGGCCAATTGAAATTTCGACTCGACAGGCTTCCTTCATGTCGGATTATTGTTTGATGATATCAATTCAACGCGCGAGAACGCATTGAATTGATATATTTCAACATGTCATATTTATATGCTCTATAAATGTTATATATGCTTTTTTATACTCTATATATGTTTTATATATACCTAATATATGCTCTATATATATTATTTGATTAATATATTTTATAACTTATGTCGTTTTATATACGACATACTA